GCATATGACTCAGCAGGTGCATGATCTGATGATGTATACATTTTAGGCAAGATATGGGATGGAGAGTGCACCCCCCCCAACATCTTTGTGTTGGTCATTGTTTGAGTGGAATCTCAGGAATTCTTCACACACATCTAGGGGGATGTGTTGGGTAACAATAGTCCGTATAAAGTCTGTGAATAGAGTATGTATAGGGATTGGACATGTAGGGAGTACACCTCCGTCCCATATCTTGCTGGGTATAGATGTAGACCCGACAGTCAGTATTCATATTTTCTGGCCTTACGATCAGTTGCTTATAAATATTAACCATGCTTTTGAATCCTCTATCGTGTCTGTATTTTCTGCTGGAGACCCAATCAACTTTGTCAAGTCAAAATGAATGTCTGTCCATGAAAAGCAATCGGGGATATGCCCAGTACTTCTGTTTACGACCATCTACCATAAAATTTATGTTTAATTTCTTCCCTTTGGTAATGGCATCAATGTAGATGACAACAGCGAAGATGCTCAACAGGCTAAAGAGTTGGAACTGCAAGGTGTCCACAGTGCAGAGGCAGGTGACATAGACTCCGCAATCAGCTTCTTCAACAAGGCTGTCCAGGTGGCACCAGAGAGGGCGTCCTGCTACAACAACCGAGCCCAGGCCTTGCGTCTGAAGGGAGATGTCATTGGTACGTGCACTCCTAGATTGGCCTGGGCAGCTAAGATACATCAGCGTTTCCATCAGTGTTCACTCTCATCAAAATGCAAAGCAAGACCTTGATTTCAAAAAGTAGTGATGAGACAAGCTACAGTTGTTGTTGATGACACCTTTATACAATTCCTAATATCTATTGAATCTCTCAAGGTTCTGTACATCTTTTTACTTTGTCAATTTCCTATCATTCTGTGTCTGGAAGGCATTGTAATTGGTTTGATTTCTTCCCTACAGGTGCCTTTGAAGATCTGAATCATGCCATTGAGCTGAGCGGGGGGCGTGGCAAGGCGGCCTGCCAAGCCTACACCCAGCGGGCACTCATCAACCGACTTGAGGGGCATGATGACGAAGCACTGAGTGATTTCAAGATGGCCGCTTGCCTGGGGAGTGCGTTTGCGAGGTCGCAGGTTGTAAGGATGAACCCCTATGCGGCCATGTGTAACCAGATGCTGTCCGATGTCATTGGGCGGCTAAAAGCTGGGGAATATCAAGATTAAGAACTATGCAACTCATATGAAGCAAGATACGAATACGGAGAGACCCCCCCTGCTTTGTGTTGGTCATTGTTTTAGTGGAATCTGAGGGATTCTTTTCAGACATCTAAGGGGATGTGTTACAAGTAGTCTGTAGTGTGCATAGCGATTGGGCATGTTGGGGGGGAGTACCCCTTGGTCTCATTTCTTGCTGGATGTGATGTAGCTTTGCCCAATCAGTGGGCGTGGTTCTAGATGAGAATAAGGGGACTGAGTTTGCTCGGTTGCCTGTGTTCAGTGAAGGGGTGGGTAGAGCACAGAAACCTGTTCGTTGGAAAGGGGAATTTCGGAAGTAACGTCGCTTATCAAAGGTGTCTTTTATTTCTTTTCACACTTTATTTCTCAAATGATTAAGCTCGCCCGAGTATGGCACCGATGCAAACATATGAATTGTAAAATATTGCAAGTGTAAATTTATGAAAGCCTTACTTGGCTTCTTAAGAGTATCAAGCAAAGTGTTAACCTTTCATCAAGGCCTTCTTGGCAGTGTATAACCGCAAAGCGACTGGAGAGGAGACCACATACACGTGCAGCTCAGCACAAGAGCCTTTTCCAACTTGTCAGGAATTTCTTATGTTTTTCTTTATGTTTTCAATTTAATCCCAACCAATCATAAGCAAGGGGGGTCAGCATACATTAACCTAGTATGCAAATTGAAAGTATACGAAAGATGGCAGGTGTCAGTGGCCGTGAGTGCAGGTCAGTTGTCTGATCAGTATTTGGACAGTTCTTCTGCTGGAAACTTTCACCTTGCCGAGTTTAAACCATTGCAGCGTTGGGCTACTGAATTATCTGTACGCGAGCGTGACACTTTCGTCTCTGCCCACGGGATATGGAAACACAAAAGTAAGAGCTGTATTTCAAGCACTGCCGTTTTGCTTTGACCATTCGGCCTTGATGAACTGCTACTTGCTAGTGTTACTCCAACGTCAGCACCATCCCCCACCAACAAGCGTCATAGTTGTCATCTCACCACTTATTGCCCTCATCAGTGAAAAACCAGATGGAAACATTGCATAAGCTTTGGAGTTGATGCCGTTTATTTTGGAGACTGTGCTTTGACTGTTTACATGAAATTTATGAATAATGCCTATCAGAAAGCTTATGAATAAGTCACCACAAAAACCTCAAAATCAAGTTGGAAAAGGCCTCGTGGCTGCACCACTTGCCTGGTCTCCTGTCCAGTCGCTTTGTAGTTACACACTGCCACGAAGGCCTTGACGAAAGGCGAGCAAAGTGTATGTGTTGCCTTGATTAACGGGCTGCACATTTACACCTGTTTAACTGTCACATTATTTGAGAACAAGTTTCTTTGGGATGTTGTCAATAGTATGGGAAAAGCTAAGGGTGGTGAAGGTTATTTTGAAACGCAGCAACAACGTTATTGCCAAAAGACGGAAACAAAGATCTGTCATGCCAAGTTTGCCGACCGGCTTCAGCAATGCTCTTTCATATATCTGAGGATTGTTTTCTTGGGTTTATGTAAAATTTCAGACAGTAAAGATGCAGTGTCTCAAGTGTTTCGGAACAGTTATTTTCCTTTTAGTTTCAAATGTGTATATTTGTAAATATTTAAAGCACTGAAGTGATTATTTCTAAAAGGTATATTTGGCATGCTAATCAGGGATAATAATCTAATAACATACACAACCTAATCCGCTGCCTTGAAATTTACATATGTATACATGTACTACATGTATTATGCAAACTACTTGGCCATTCATTGAAGAGAAATCTATTTATCATGAATATGAAACTGGTACTTAACAAGCCCCACCCCATCCCCCTATCTTTTTTCTCAATGTAGATTTTCCTTCAGCACATTTGTGGACAAAGCTATACATATGTATTTTACAGCATCCTGACAGTCACCTGTCCTATTTTGATTTTGGTCCAACGATGACCCTACAGGTCAGTGACCACTTCTGACCCAATAATGGAATTGTCTCTCTGACTAGCTTGTAGTACTGCTCAATAGCTTTATTGCATGTTACTGAATAACAAGATCACAAAGGTGTAGAAAAATACTACGACACCGTGCAAGATATAATTACATAACGGCCCAAAAAATTGACGATATATACAAAGTACATGTACATATTCTAAAGGCAGGAAATCAGAGACACATGTATATGACTTGGAAAAACACACAACCTAATTAAAATTTTACAATGAGTTAAAAAACAAACTTTTCTCCATCATCCTGAAACTGGATTTTTCATCTGTCAGTCATTTCCCAGTGTTGGAGGACTCGAGGCTGGCCTCGGGTTGAAATGATGGCTCAGTTTTTGCCATGGCATGGACCATGTGGACTCAAAAAGTAGGCTAGTTTGAGGATGTCCGTTTTCACTAAATTACATGTACATGTATTTACTTTCTCAAAAAAATTATTGTTGTGGCGTCTTACAATGACAGAAATTAACCGGAAGGATGATTGATAACGGACATTTCTATCAAAATTGGATATACTTTACAGAAGATAGGACCACACAGTTACAGAGGATTACAAAGGTAATAGGCCTTCTTCATCGGGAAGCAACTGTTTCCCTTGTTCCCTGAATCTATCATATCCAGTGTGATCTGTTAAATGCAACATTAGTTTGGGTTCCAATCTTCAGTTTTAGTGTTTTTTAATGTGACTTAAAACATCAAGATATAATTGATCACAAGTTCTAAATTATTCTAAACAAAATCTGGCATGAGTTTGTGTGAACTTGTATTTTGTTGGTGTTAGTTTTACTCAAACGTTCCAAAAAGAGAAAAGTCGTGCCTCAATTTCAATTCAAGATGGCAAACATATTTAATCCATTCCAAGCAATAGCATGTCACTGCCAGGAATTGTCTTTGTATTCTTGACTGAAAATGAAACTCAATCTGGACACTGCAGTGTAAGCCTTAACCAGCAGACAAAATTAACAAATGAAAAACACCTCTTATGAAATTGCTCTGAAATGCAGCCTCTGACATCACAGAGTATGCATTTGTCACATTTTTCGAAGTTGACTAAAAAATCATTAAACTAAAATTCACATTCATGTAAAATTTAGATTTTCAATATGTGTACACAGTAAACCCCTGCTAAGTAGGCACCCTTGGGACCCCAAAATTTGTGACGACTTACGCAAAGGCTGAATTCTACTGTAAGTCGTCATTTTGCCAACTTATATGAAACGATGACCATACATGCACATAAATGTACATGTGATTGGGTTGCAGTGCTCAAAATATCTAATTCGAGCATATTTATGGAGGAAGGAAAAGACACGATGAAAACATGCAACATGGTTTGTGATGCTCCGAAGTGACAGAGGGATTGGATTATGTGAAGGACAGTGGTCCATGAGTGCGAACGGAGTGCATGCCTGCATGTACAACGTACAGATAAATGCTGACCACTGAAAAATACATGTACATGAAAGTGGAAAATACC